TTGATTCCCGCAGGATATATTTCATCATTCATTGAGACAAAGACTGTCACCAAATCAACATGAAATCCACCACAATTCAGGCGACGTGCGACAAGTGAGAAACTCTGCTGTTATTCCAAATTCCTCTCCAATAGTTTCCCAGCAGTTGCTCGTCCTTATATATATAGTTTGTTTGCGTCTTGTCATACAGAAAGAGGAAAAATCATACAGTTTCGAGGAACCACTCTGTTGGGAAAGGCATTGGGGAAATGGGGATTGCAAACGGAACCACACTAAGCTCCTTTGCAACTTGAAAGACGCGCGAAAAGCGGCTTGGCATTGGTATGACATCGCACCGTCACTATCTACACTGCCTCCCATTGGCTCCCTTCTCCAAGAAGAAACAGCGAGCCCTCAACCAGACTTGTGCCCATTCATTACTTGTAAAAAGTGGTTAATTTCATTTACAATTATTTGGCCATCAAAGTAGTGGATTACCGTTACAAGTTATTGGCTTTAAAATGTAATTGACTAATTACTTGGTTACTTTACTCGATTACGTTTCAATGGCTTCAAAAAATACATGCAAAAATGCAATTTTTCACAGTATCTTTGTTTACAGTAATAAGGTAACTTATCAGCTACCTGTAGACGAATAAAACTATCTGCAAATAATGTACAGAAGTTTTTGTGTTTAGTTTTTATCGCACATCAAGAGCAGTTGGCATTCGAAGTTGAAGTCAGTCATTTTTCCATCGAAGTTGAAGTCGGTCATTTTTTCAAGAACACATCTCCGGCGCGGCTGAAGAGTCACTCCACTGATGCGCCGGACGGCACAAATGTGTTATGCTTCAAAATGACCCCGTGGATCTTCGGAAAGTCGACTAGCTTCTTCACTGGCACATTGCTGGGGGCATCCAAGAACCGAGAAACTTCTGTGCTCCGAGTCAAATGCATAAATGTTGGGGAAGTTAAGAAAAAAATATTGTCTAGTTCTGGGCTTGTGATGTCTGGGTATCTGGCGTGCAGGGAGGGAGTAGCATCGCAGAGGTGCTTCATCCTCCAGGAGGCACTTCTGGGCATTTTGGATCCATTTTAATCGGAATTTGGGCAGCACAGCTGATGCCAGCAGCAGGTCCCTCTTCTCCATCAGGTGATCAAACCTTGAGATAGAATGCGCTATTAGTCATTGGCAGTGAAGGTTAAAATATATCAATTTTTTTAATACAAAATATGAATGTTTACCTTTTTCCCCAGGCCCTCGAGGACTGCCTGACAGTGTTGCGTGCAAATCTGCTTGCTCTTCATGATGGCATATTCTAGGCGTTGCTGGAGGGCAGACGGTGTCTGTAGGAGATACCCCATGAACATCTGGTTATCCCGTTGCAGCACATTCAGGGCACAGGCAACAGGTTTCACAACCTTAAAACCTTTTTTTTTATACGTGGAGCAGGTCCTTTGCAGCTACATGTGCGCTTTAAATATCTCGTTCATTATTTTCTGATTGATGTCAGAATGACTAATAAAATTTGTGGAAAAATAAAGCAGGTGGTTGGATATGTGCAGATACAGTCGTTAACAACGATGTAGAACGAGACAAAGCAAGGGCTTGGGAACTAATGCTTACTTCTCAGTTACCGTCAAATTGAGAGACATTTTGAGAAACATATTTCGCAGTATTCTTCGATGAAATTGAAGTCCACCGGATCATCCAGAGGTGGAAGATGGAGTGTGCGACAGGGTGCTGGCATGTCTTTTCCATTCCTCTTCAGAGTCGGGGGAATTGTGACGAGTCGTACAGCGAGTTCCAGCGAGTGGTTACTGGAGTCGACAGGTACACACCGCACAAATTGTCCACCGTTTGTACAGCGACTGAGGACCCCTGCTTGGCCTAAGGCACCTGCACTTTTTCATCACGGTTGTGAACGCCTTTGAGAATGCTTCGTCTTCACTTGCACGTGAGGCATCCACGGTAGGCACAAGGTTCAGACAGTGGGCAGCGCAGCGGTGATGCTGGGGTAGACAAATTCCCTCGTCAGCGCTGTCTATGAGTTTGCTTAGGTCAGTGCCTTGGATGTCAATCTCCTTGTCTTCCTTGCCCAGAGATGACTTCTCCCCGAAAACACTGTAAACAAAATCATCATAGCTTGGGGGTCTCTAAACTTTTTGACTAAAGGGCCGCATCGGGGATATCTCATTGTCTCGAGGGCCGGTAAATAAATAAATAAATATAACTTAGAAAAACAACTAAATAAATAATTCTAGATAAGTATTTAAATTACAAAATTCAAAGTTACTAGAAAAATAATTAAGAAATAGAATCTAAGGTGGATGAATACATATACTTAAGCTTAAAAATTTATATTTAGCTAATTATGACATTACACAATAACAGTGAACCAGAAAACTCACCAGGCATAAATCCAAGTGCATAGGAACTTTGTAATTGCAGTCTTACTTATATGGCACATGCTCAATAACTGCCAAAGCGATGCTTTGCACGTTTAATGGGACAATAAAATCGGCAGTTCAAGGAACAGATTTGCAACAAAATAGTATGGAAACTGTGGATCATTTTATCTGTCTGCACCAGATGCAGTTGCAAAACTGTAACGCAATGAACAAAAGTATACGGGATAATGACATGTGTTTGAATGAAATGGTATATACTGTAGTGTAAAGTTTATATCCGTCTTGTCTCGTCTCGTCAAGTCTCTCGTTGTCTTCGGGTCTGTGCTGACGTCATTGTCGCCGATTGCGAGTCAAGGGTCTCTTCTCTTGGGTTTTAGTGATGTCAGGATCGTAGGCTTTTAGGGTTGAATAACTTGGTTTAATATGCAGGTATTATACACAAAAATTACAACATAGTTAAAGTTCGGTAGTTCTCAAAACTCGATGGCCTCTGCTGTTTAACTCTCTTAGTGACACTTCTGCACTTTATCTACTCGTTTTTCCACATCGCTCTCGATGCGTCTCCTTTTAAATCTCTTCATCGACCCCCCTCTCAACTCTTCCGCTCCCAACTTAGCGACACTCTTCTCTCTCTCTTTCACTCTCTCCCTCTGACACGGATTCTCGTCTCCGTGGTACGGCTACACAAATCCCGACAAGCAAAATAATAAATGAGTTCAGTTGGCGCTATCCAAAACAAAACGGCCCTCTGCCGCCGACTCTGTAAACATTCCAATCATCGACCCCTACAAAAGCACGTTAAAGTCCTTAATATACTTCTCGTGTTCACAATAGCCGATTCCCGGTACAACCCCAAAAGTTCGACAACGCCTCCCAACATTCTGTTTAAAAATGGAAGGGCACACACAGACATTTCACGGTCACATATTCCTGCCAGTTGAAAAAAGTTTTCACGAATGTACCGGCGAGCCCGTGCCAAGACATCCACTGCACTCGAGTCGACATTCACACAACAGCCGTCGTTGGGCGTAGATGGTGATGGGGCGCCTACATCGCACAGCAGAGATTCCAAGCCCGCACGTCGTACATGTCCGGAGCAGCATCCGCGACGCTTGGATCGGCCACAAACTCTGCGGCCCTGTTCAAGAGCCACCTGTTGTGTCGCACTGCCTCTTGTATCACAAACACTCCCGATCCTCAGCGGCGACGGTCGTAATTATCTTTTCGCAGCTCGACACATCGGAGCCGAGGGTTCAGTCCGTCGAAGTCAGCGTAATAATCGAAGCCGTGTGGCGTCGTCGACATGCACAGTTTAATCAACGTCTCGTTGTTTTTGAAAACTTTGTAGAGACTTTGCAGGGCTTCTGAGCTCGCGACGACACACTTCAACCATTCGAACCATTCTAGTCCGTGGTTTTGCGATAGGCCTTCCAAAACCATCTTTACGACTGACTGGCGTTCTTGTCCACACTTGACTAGAGCGAGCGTTTTCAGTCTTAGAGTCTGCTATGAAAGCGGCCACCTTTTCAGCCACAACGTTCAAAAAGATGGAGAAGATATATACGTGTTGCAGGTGCGGGGAGGTGCGGAGGGCGTCAAACGTCTCACCGAGGTATTGGTGAACCTCACGTGACATTACATGGTCGATGGTTACGTATTTAAATTGTGCCAATAATTCTACATTTATGCGGCTCTTAACCAAAACGGCCAAATGTAAGCGCTGGCACTGACCTCGGTCGATGGCCAGCTGCACCAATTCGCCGAAATCTGTCACGTAACCAAGCCTCACGACGTGTAGGCTCTTGTTGATAGATAGAGCCTCTATCAAAGCCCGTAGGCTGCGCATAGACAAGGCTAGGTTATCTCTTAGATTAATTTCGATTAAAGATCGATTATGCGCAACGGCCTTAGCCAGATAGGATGCCGTATCGTCGGTTAGGTTGGTGAAATTGAGATCGAGCGTCTCGATCATGCAATTTGTCTTCATCAACAATCGCGCCAATTCGACGACGGCCTCGTTCTGGAAGGAAACGCCCATCAACTTTAGGCGTCTGATAGACGTCATTGCGCGCAGAAAATCGGCCTCTTTATACCTCCGGTAAAGTGCAAGATTTTGAGGGTGCAGCCCGGCCTCTCTAGCATCGCTTGCACGGACCTCAGATCTACAAAATCAGTTTCGTAGCATAACTCCTCCAGTCCGATTTGAAACTCTGATATCCACCTCAACAGGTGATTTGTGAATGCGTGAGACATGGTGGTGATATTTATATTTACGATACGTAGATTACGGAGGTGTTCAATGGCCCGATGCAGATCCATCATGCCCACGGTTACGTACGCCATGTCAGACATGTCGGTTTCCGTGCAAGTTTCATCTACAACCAATTCTCTAATAGACGAATTTTGACGTATGCCGCACAAAATCAAATCTCTAAACATTACGGTACTTTTGCCTACCAATTTTGAAGCATTTAGTCGAATTACGCACGAATGTTGCCTGAAGAGAAGGTACATTATCATGGCCGCCTCCGATTCCTTGGTGTAGTCGATGTCGTCCTCCACGCCTTCGCCCGTGTTCACACATTCTACCGCTAGGCTTTTTGGTGAAATCTCGACAATTTCAAGTCCCACAACAAAAAGTATCGCATTAACTGCAGTTAAGACGCGATGCATTAACAGTAGCCCGCACGTAGACGCGGAACTACATCCCCTCTCCAGTACAGGGAATGCGGTCTTCACGGTCTCGTACATTGTCCACCTGCTGACAGTCTGGAAAAAACAAACAAAAAAACCTGTCTATATAATAATTGAATTGAAATACAAAGGAGAAAAGAAATACCTGATGATCGAGCTCCATAGTCCTACTGGAAGTGGTGGATCCGAAGGATAGCGGGAAACTCATGGTCGTTGTCTAATTGACAGCGTGAGTAGTAGTCGTGTCGTGATGCGAGTGGCGATCGCTTAAAGGGACCATGAAATGATTTTAAAATCGAGTTTCATCCACCGCACGTCGTAAAAGGTGTGAAAAGAAACACAAAAACACAAAAATAGGGAGCCAAAAAAAATTATTTGCCATAGAACTTTTAAAAGAAAACTGGACTCTTTTGCGCCTTCCTTCCTTCGCCTGTTCACTACGATGCATCCGCGGAAATGGAGCACGTCAGCCAAATCCAGGTCGCGTGACATTCACTTGACGTCACTCGCTAGGTTCGCTGCCATCGCCCACCACGGTCGCCATCTTCGAGGTCTCTTGCTATCGCGAATGCCATCTGGCCGGACCTTTTGAGCGTGGTTTAGCAGTATTTTACAACTTTAAAGGGTCTTTTTGATCGAAACTAGGGGCTTTTCTTATACTTTGGTGCTTTTGAATCGCCGTGGGAGTATTTTTTGTGTGTTTTAGTTCGTTTTTGTCGCTATCGGACTCGTTTACCGCGGCCGCGTTGCTCCCTCGGCTCCATGAAGCGCTCCGTGTCGCCCGCCGTGCCGACGGCGGTAGCTCTTGCAAGAACTAATTTTTCTACTTTGGTGCTTTTGTAGCACGGTGTGATTACTCTTTGTTTTGTTTTGCTAGTTCCTTTATTGTTTTTCTCTAGCGGATTTTCTGTACTACGGCCGTGTAACCGTGTTGCTCCATCGCCGCTGTGTCGTACATACGTCGTGCCTTCGGTGTTCGTTCCTGTGCAGAAACATACCGTGCGGCTCACAGAGTGCGCAGCTTATGAAAAATGCGGTGCAATTTTCATTAGCCCAAGCGATTTAAAAACCGGCTGTAAGCGATTTGGCGAGCGGGAAGACAAGCGACGGCGACCCGCTTCGCTGCCGCTCGGTCACTCGCGCGACGAGGCAAACCGCATGAAAGCGACGGGAGCACACGACCAAGGCGATGAGCGCTAAGTTTTCTAGAAATCCCCAAAACTGAGCTACGCGACGAGTGACAGTGAAGGGTGAACCGCATGTAAGCGATTTAGCGAGCGATGGCGACAGCGACGGCAGTCGGCGACGAGCTACGGAGATTTCTCGCGATCGGTCGTCGCGTCGCTCGGTTTTTGGATTTCTAGAAAGGGTCGCTTATCGCCTTGGTCGCATGCTCCCGTCGCTTTCATGCGGTTTGCCACGTCGCGCAAGTGACCGAGCGACAGCGAAGCGGGTCGTCGTCGCTTGTCTCGTCGCTGTCGCTCGTCTCGTGGACCTTTTTCCAGTAAGGAGTGCCCCATGACGGTTTCGCCGCCTACTACAAATGGAGGGCAACCGGACTCGCCTTCTCCCATAGGAACAGATTAGTGTCGCAAGAAAACAGTGCCCCCCAAAAATGGCGAAAGGACGGTCAAGGTCAAGTGGAAAGGGTGTGCGCGTGCGCAGACGCTTACTGGAAAAAGGTCCATTGCCTACATGCGGTTCAGCCTTTACACACGGTACTCGGCGGCAACAAGGAAAACGGCCCGCCCCCAAGACCAACCTTTCTTCTCTCTTCTGTTCAACGAAGCTTCAACGATATGAAATTAGCACACACTAGCACCGGACGACCGCGTAGCGTACCCAAGCCAGTCAAACCGAGACCTCGAAGATGGCGGATCGACGGTGGCGCTCCCTGGCAAAGTCGAACCTGCAGGCTCGGTGAATACCACCTATTGGGTAAGAGCCTACCTCACCAGCACCGCGATCGTAAACAATAAATAGCCGGCGAATGTTTCCTAAAAGTTTTGTTAAATAATATTCAGATCCACATTTTGTAGCATAATTAGAGATGTGTGGCGAACATAGAGATCATACATACTAACTCTAGAGGAAAAGGTCCGCCATTTTCCCATACATTCTGGCTGCCGCAAGCGGCGGATCATGCAGGCAGACCTTCTGGGTCCCAAACACGGTTACATCATCAGAGCAGTTTCGTGAACTTCAACAATTCACGAACTTACCGGTGGAAAGATATTCACGTTCCTTTCGAAGCTTTCTTTTTGAAAAGCGCGCAGATGTACGGCCTCGCGTTAACGCTAAACTAAACCATATACCCGGCTTCGCCGGTGGGGCGCGGCTGGGCGCGGTTGAGGAATACGAAACTGCGCAACAACCAGATTTCCGAGATTTCGACAGAAGGGAAGTTAATGCAGCGTAATAAGTTTATTGCTTTTTATAAGCGTTAGAATAGCTCATAATTTAGTTTACAACGTTAAATTATCACTGTTTATATTGCTAAGCGTTTTCACTCTTCGCGTTACCATGGCAACGTTGCTTTCTTTCTCTCGTGTTCTGTCGCTCTCTTTTGCGTTCGTTCACTCGGGACCCAGGATGTCGGCGCACGGGATTTGCCACTCCTCCTCACCCACCTTTACCCCCCTGGTGGCGAAAATTGCCAAATTTGATGGATGGATGGATGGATGGATGGATCTGGCTAAACCCTGTGAATGGGGCGGTGGCTTGCGCCACCTAGCCAACATTATAAATCTAGTTATATGTTTCGAATTCCAAGATTAAATCTCACCCCTGCCTCGATTTTAGCCACCAGTCTGATAACCTCCGCTTGGTTATTTCTACCCGTGTAAAGTCTATTTTTCCTTCACTGTCTTTAAAACCCAATGCTTTGATTAAATCCGCCCGGTCACTGTTAACTGTTGGGTGCAGCCCTTTACAGAAAAGTATCAAGTGTTCAGCCGTTTCCTCCTGCTCCCCACACACACTACATAAAGTGTCCATCTCCTGGTACTTAACCCGGTACGTCTTAGTCCGCAATACTCCTGTCCTGGCCTCAAACAACAAAGAGCTTCCCCTAGAATTATCGTAGATATTTTCTTTGCAAATTTCCTGTTTGAACATTCTGTACGTCTCCAGTGCTGGTTTTGTCTGCATACCCGTTTCCCACAGACCCTTCTCTGTTTCTTTTATCCTTTTCTTAACCCGTAATTCCTGGTTGGCGCCCCCACTGCCGCCCAAATATTTGCTTGATAATTTTCTAGTTCGCTTTCTCCATTTGGTATCTATATTCCTCATGTACAAATAACTGAAAACTTTCCTAGCCCACTGCTCTTCCTCCATTTCCCTCAAACGCTCCTCAAATTCTATCTTGCTGCTAGCTTCCCTGCCCTCGATTGACGTCCATCCCATGTCGCCTTGTACCCCCTGATTCGGCGTATTTCCATGAGCTCCCAAAGCAAGCCTACCTACGCCCCGCTGTTTAATTTCTAACTTTGCTTGAATATCTGGTCTCATGCACAGGACCGCATTGCCGAAGGTCAGGCCGGGAACCATGACCCCTTTCCAAATCCCCCTCACCACTTCATACCTACTGTAATTCCACAGAGCCCTATGTTTCATGACGGCTGCATTCCTGCTACCTTTCATCGCTACATGTTTTTCATGCTCCGTTAGATACTCAACACCATTATTTATCCATACCTCAAGATACCTGTACTTATCCACTACCTCCAACATGACCTCTTGTATCCTATGCTCGCCACCATCTTTATCATTAAAAATCATCACTGCCGATTTTTCTTGACTAAATTTAAGACCTAGTTTATCTCCCTCTGTACCACAGATATCCATTAATTTCTGCAAATCTTCTTTGTTGTCGGCCATTAGCACTATATCATCTGCATACATCAGCCCCGGTAGTGATTGTTTAATCCATTCACCTTGCTTGATGAAAGAAAGGTTGAAGCCAAACCCGCTCCGCTCTAGTTTGTTCTCCAATCCCTGTAAGTATAACATGAACAACAAAGGCGACAAAGGGCAGCCTTGCCTAAGCCCCCGCTCTATCTCTATAGGCTCCGATACATTTGTTTCCCATTTTATAAGCACCTTGTTGCTATTATATATATCTTTTAAAAGATTAGTTACTCCAGCTTCTACCCCTAATATACCCAGTATGCCCCACAAATTCTCTTGACTTACACTGTCGTAGGCTCCTTTGATATCCAGAAACGCTAGCCATAGGGTCCTTTGTTCCTTTTCTGCTATTTCGATACACTGCGTTAAAGAGAACAGATTGTCCTCTAACCTCCTTTGCTTCCGGAACCCATTCTGCAGCTCCCCCAGCACCCCCTCGCTCTCCACCCATGCCTGCAGTCTATCCTTTATAATCTGCATCACCACCCTGTAAATCACTGACGTCACCGTTATAGGACGATACCGTAAAATCCTGAATTAACGCCCCCCTTTTCGCCGTAGATAATTGGCCAAAAAAGTGGGGTGGGCGATCTTTCAGTATTTAAAAACCAAAATCACAAACAAAACTCGAGTAACTCGTGCGCCAAAGCAGCGTGGGTTTCCCTAGCTCTCATCGCTGAAACCGTCAAACGACACATCGCTTTCGCTATCGAAGATTAAATCGCCTCGTCAATGAGGCTCTCGGGATCCTCGGGTCCATTGGTTACCGAAGCCAAACGGTCGTTGAGCTCGCCGTCCTCGGAACCATCGAGCCTTGCGGATATTCCGCACCGTTTGAACGAACTCCGCACGGTATCCTCGGAGACGGAGGCCCACGCCTAAGCCACGAAGTCCACAACCTCTTGACGCGACGGCTTGCGAAGGTTGCCCTTTGGAGTCACCGAACCTTTCCGGAAGAACGATGCCCAAATTCCACGCAGCGTGTCCTTGAAGGGCTTCATCCATGAGACGTCCGCGGGTTGCAAAATGGACGTGCAACCGCCCAGTATCAAGACGACGTCGGTGTCTTTTGCGTCGAGCGCTTCTCGGGCCGCCTGTCTTGTGTATGGGTGCTTGGTCCAGTATGAGCAGTCTCCTCACGTCGTCGGCGTTCGGGCCCCAAACTCTCCTAGTCCACTCCAGTAGGACGGGAGAGGTCATCCAACCGTTCTTGGAAGAAGTAACTCGCACATTTGCTGCAAGTACAACAAGTATAACATGAAATAACAGTTCGGGCCCCAAACGCACATTACACATGCTACGCCGATGAGTGAAGATATGCGAACTGCCCGATTTTATGGCCGAGCGCCGAAGCACGCGCAAGTGAGTAACCTTTGGAAAGCCAGCAAGTCACGCGCCAACTGCTCGTGCGCTCAAGATGGCGCCGGCCAGAACGGCTACGCCATCTTTCGGAAATGGGGCGATACAAAACAAAACAGGCTGTGGCGTTTTGTCAATGGATGACGCAACAGTCGCTCTATTTAAAAAAAAAAACAAAATGCTGTCAGCCTTATTTTTACGTATTTCTAAGGCTTTGTTTCGACATTTATACCCTAAATGGTGATTAATTACAACATGCGGCACCGCGGTTCTCCTGAACCAAAATAAATATTATTATTATTATTATTATACTTGGAATCCTTAGAGAAAAGAGTACTCCGGGGGGATCCGGCCGGTTGGCTCCTTCAGTACGATCAAAGCAGGTAGCTTGATGCCCGCTGCCGTCGCGCACAAGGCCACCGTCATCCCTCGCCGAGCAGAGCTGGTGTTGGCGATGCGAATACTCGACTCGCCGACAGCATTGTTGGTTCTCGCAGCAGGGCAATCCATCCGGACCATAGTCTGATCCATGTTGGCTATGTTGTAGTCCGAGTAGTTGTGCTCCAGGCGCAGAGTTGACACAGCCTTTCGGAACACCGTAATTGCTTCAACGTAGTCGGCAGACAGCTTCTGACTTTCGTTGGTCCCCACCCGCATAGACACATTAAATCGCTTCTTCCAGTTAGCTATGTACTGGCATGACGCTTGGAAGTTTCCTAGGCCCATCTGTTCTGCCAGTTTCCGCGCATGCTCTTGAAGCAGGCGATTGCTGACTGCTCGACCGGCGGATCTCTCAGTCTCCAGAAAGTCCATCAGTGCGTCGTCGATTTCTTCACTAAAATCGGGTCGTCCCCTACCTATTGCTCTCTTCAACTTGTTCGTTTCATGGCATTGTTGTAGAAGTACTTGGTAGCTCGTATTCCATTCCCGTACACGCTTCCGGTGAACTTCGAAATGGCGCGCAGTCTTGCTCACGTTAGCTCCGTTCTTGCGGTGCCATTCCACGACTTCCACTTTCTTCTGGATGGTATAGCTGGACCTTATCCCGAGTATACACAAGAAACGTCTTCACAGTTTGCTGGTCGAAAGATTTTCTGGGGTTGTCGGGCGATCTGACGACAACCACTAAGCGACCTTCAACGCTTTCCTGATGTCATTCAATAAGTGACCTTGACCACTTTCCGGGTTCCTTCCGTTATCTTATCTCCCTTATTGTGTGTGGCCTCTTCTTTTTGTGAAGGGAATTTTAGGCTTTCCAAACCTTCTCCCCTACCCTCCAGCACTTTTCTCAACCTTCGGGCATCGCTATTTTTGGAAGGTGGGCGACCTATCAGTATTCGAGGGAACACGTGTTCGAACATAAAAGCGGAGTGGGCGATCTATCGAGTGTGGGCGCTATTTCAGGATTTTACGGTAGTTGTTTATGTCCGCTTTGTCCCCCTTTCGTTTATATATCATGCTCATCCTGCTTAGTCTCCATTCATCGGGGGCTTTCCCATCCGTTACCATTTTATTCACTGCCTCT